AACGACCCCGGAGAAGCTGTCGATACCTCCGGGCACCACCCGCCCAGAAACGGCGATGACGAACGGTTGCTGACGCAAGCGCGTACTTGCAGGCAACGTGCAGGGCGGATTTGGGCTACCAGTGGAAACCCCCACGAGGCCCTACGAGGCCTCCAAGAGGGCCCCCTGAGATGCCCCCAAGGGGGCCCCCAAGAGGCCCCAAAGCAAATCACGAGAGGGCTCGTACTGCTTACGATATGCTTCCATAGACTTCCCGCTGCACCCCAGGGCACTCTTTCTGCGCGACCGAAGACGTAAACCAAGTCTGCCTTCAACACGAAAGCGCGACGGCACACGCCTCATTTTGCAGCAGCGCGCCGGACTCGCGCCAAACCCCATAACAAGCACATTCGCTTCACTGCACCACGACCTGTCCAATCAACAACCGATGCATGTTTCAAACGTACTTTGCATGCACAACAGGGGCCCCTCAAAAGCTCCACACTGGCACGCGCACACCGCCTGAGATCTACTGCCCCACAAATCCAACACACAGACATGCAGCGCGGCACTTTTCCATCGACCTTCAAACCAGAACGCAGCCAGTCCCACAACTGAAATGCAGGACGGACCGCGTCCACGTTTGCAAGCCCCCCGCGAGGCGCAAGGAGGCCCCCTAGACGCCCCAAAACATCATCCCGGGAGGTCCCCAAGTTGCTCCAATATTGATCGCGATAGGACCCCGAGACCGCGTGCAACGCATTGAACGCCGGCGCCCCCTGTGCGGACGAAGACGTCAAGCAAATTTGCCTAGAACAAAATGCGCGACGGCGCCCGTTAAGTTTTGCAATGGCACGCCAGATTCGCGCCAAACCCTATAACGTGCACACTGGCTCCACTGCGCCGCGACCTGTCCAGACACAAACCGTTCAAACCTGTTTCCAGCAAAACTCGCGCGCAACGCCACCGCCCTTCTAATGCTCCACACTAACGCAAAGCACTGTGCCTCAGATCAATAGGCAGACAAAACCGAACAACAGGAATGCAAGACGACACCCTTTCCTTCGAACTTCAAACCAGAACGTAGCCACTCCAACAACTGAAATCTAGGAAGGACCACGCCCAACATTGCTAGCCCCCCCGAGGCGCCACGGAGATTCTTAGAAGCTCCAAAACAGCTTCCAAGGAGGCGGCTTCAAACCTCACCGCAAGAGGACATCGACGCCCCAGTTTGAACACTGACGTGGAAAACTTTCAACGCCGAGGCCCCCGTGCGAACAGAGGCGTCACGCAAACTTGCCCCGGGCGCAGATTCACGACGGAGCGCGGCCAACGTGGCAACAGCGCGCCATGCTCACGCAGAACAGATGACACACACACACACACACACACACTGCCTAGGCGACTTCAGGTGTTGTTATGAGACGTTCCCGGATCTCTCCTCCTGGGCCGTCTTGGGAGCCTCTTGGGGCCGTCTTGGAGGCCTCCCTGGCCGTTCTGGGGCCATCTTGGAGGCCTCTTGAGCGACCCTTGGGCGATCTTTGGGGGCTCTTGGGCCGTCTCGGGCCGTCGGAAGGTCGAAACGAAGCAAATGTCAAAGTCCTTCGAACACCTAAGGAAAATCAGTGTTTTTGGCCTTTTCTTGCCTTCCTGGAGGCCCTCTTTGGAACCAGTTTGGGCCTCTGTTCGGGTCCTCTTGAGGCAACATTGGGGCCCGCTTGGAGCTCTCCTGAAGCCCTCTTGGGGCCCTCGGAGGGCTCTTGACGAGACTCTGGGGCGCCTCTCGAGGCCACCGGCGAAGCCAATGCTGAAAAAAACGGGCGGCGGCAATTCAGGACACCCCCCCGTCTCCCCTTTTCGCTGGCCCTTCCAGATGCGCGGGCCAAGATTAGAAGGCGAAGCGCAGCGAGCCTTATAACCTTGTGTGTGGTGTATATATATATATATATATATATATATATATGTATGTATCGGTATATGCATGTACATATGCATATACATACACACCTACACATACATCTACACAGACATATACATATGCATATGCATATACATATACATATATAAACAAATGCATCTACGCATTCCTTTTCCTATATTCTTATTACCTGGACCCCCCACCATCAACTGGATCCCCTCAGGGACGCCCCGGACGCCCTTTCGGACGTCTCGACCCTACCGGGCCCCCCAGGGCGCCTTGCCGGGCCTTGCGAGCAGACTCGAGGCGATCAGAGAGGTCATCGGGGAGGCGCAAGAGAGACCCAAGACAGCACAAAAGCGCTCCAAGAGGAACTTCTGAAGACGGCCCAACAGGCCCCCGAAACGTCCCACGAGGCCGTTAAGAGAGTCCCGAAGAAGCAGACATCCTTCCATTCCTTTGGGAAAATTGTTACTTTTAACAGATCCACTTTTTGGGTCTTCGCAGCGTCCAAGACGGCCCGGTGGGCCCCGATATCGCCGCAAGACGGCCCAAAAGGCCTCCCAGAGGGTTTGAAGACGGCCCAAGTTGAGGCCCCAAGACTGCCCCAGAGAGCCCCGAGACTGCCCACGAGAAGCTAAGGCTCCCAAGAAAGACTTACGAAAACCATGGAATACCCCCGAGAAAGCCACTGGAGACCTCCAAGAGGGCCTTAGATGGCTTCAGAAGACCTCTCGAAGGCCCCAGCTCGTCAAGATGGCCCAAGAAGGTCCCAAGACGGCCCAAGAAGGCCCCAGGACGGCCCAAAAGAGTTCCAAAACGCCCAGACGGCGTTCTCCTGCGAAGTACATTGAGCTGACCCGACGATCTTGGTTCCACGCTTGAGGCTCGAGGTTTCCTCGATCGAGAGAGACAGTCCATGGATCTAGGTTCGAAGTTCGACGATCGAAGACTTCCTGAGTTCCTGGACCCCCCCAGGCATTCAGGAAACGATCAAACATCGATTTGTTCGGAGCTGCTGCGACTTCTTCGGCGTGTCATGGAAACGCTCCGTACTTCCTCAAAGGACCTTCGCGCGTGAACAAATCATCATTTCTTCCCCACTCCTGCGCACAAGCGTGCAAGCGCATCGGGCGAACGCGGTATCAGCAGGCACCAAAGATATCAGACAAATGAGCCGGTCGCCCGTCCAGGCCTCGAGGTCCCCCTTGCTGAAGCAATCGATGATTCATTGCCTTGCCGGGGAGGGTCCAGCAGAAAGCGCATGGCGCGAAACGCCAATGCAATCTTGTGTGTATATATATATACACGTAGCACCCCGCAATTGCGGATAAGAGTGAGGGGGCGGGCGCGGGCGACGCGGGCGTCGTAGAGCCGGCGGACCTCGTGGCCCCCACCTTCCTTGTCGATGGCGCTCTTCTTCTTCCTCCTCCTTCTCCTCCTCCTACTCCTCTTCCTCGTCCTCGTCCTCGTCCTCGTCCTCATCGTCATCGTCATCGTCCTCCTCCACCTCGTCCTCCTCCTCCTCTTCTTCCTTGTCCTCCCTCTCCCCCCCTCGTCCTTCCATCATCGTCCTCCTATTGTCGTCCTCCCCCTCATCGGGCTCCATCATCGTCCTCCCGTTGTCGTCCATCATCATCTTCCTCCACCTCCTCCCCCTCCCCTTCCTCGTCATCCTCCTCCCCCTCCTCCCCCTCTTCGTCCTCCTGCTCCTCCTCCTCCTCCTCCTCCTCCTCCTTCCTCTACATTATCCTTACATCCTCTGTTCTTCCGAGTCCTCCTCGTCCCCTTTTGACTCCTCCTGCCCCCCTCTCCTTTCCCAGGATAACGGCAACGCAGTCTTTTTTTCCATTTTATGCTCCCTGACTTCTCTGATCAAGGCAACTCGCCAGGGCAAAGTTGCTGGACGGGCTGGCGTGGATGCGCGGGGCTTGAAGAGGTCGTTGCGGGCTCAGACGGCATGCAAAATTCCGCCGCCGCGCTTGTGCGGCATTGGTTTGTTCAGTGAACGTGGTTTGGGTCGCGGGTGGGTCGCGGGCTCTCGACCTCCACCTGGAACGAATGCAAAAGCAGCCCGCCGCAGGCGCCGAAAAAATGGGTTTGTACACTGAACGTGGTTTGGGTCGCGGGTGGCCAGCGGGTTCTCCTCCCGGAAGGAATGCAAAAGATGCCCGCCGCAGGCGCCGAAAAATATGTTTTGTACCCCGAACGTGGTTTGGGTCGCGGGTTGGTTGTGAGTTGGTCGCGGGGTGGGTCGCGGGCTCTCCACCTGGAAGGAATGCAAAAAAAACTCGCCGCAGGCGACGAAAATGTTTGTTTGTACCTTGAACGTGGTTTGGGTCGAAGGTGGGTCGCGGGTGGATCGCGGGGTGGGTCGTGGGTGGGTCGCGGGTAGGTCGCGGGTGGGTCACGGGTGGGTCGCGGGTGGGTCGCGGGGTGCGTCGCGGGGTGCGTCGCGGGGTAGGTCGCGGGTGGGTCGCGGGTGGGTCGCGGTTGGGTCGCGGGGTGGGTCGCGGGGTGGGTCGCGGGGTGGGTCGCGGGGTGTGTCGCGGGTGGGTCGCGGGTAGGTCGCGGGTGGGTCGCGGGGTGGGTCGCGGGGTGGGTCGCGGGTGGGTCGCGGGGCGGGTTGCGGGCGGGACGACGACAACAAACAACAACAACAAACAACAACAACAACAACAACAACAACAACAACAACAAACAACAACAACAACGATAATCTGCACCACGACATCCCACTTCAGCCACGCACCCATGGACAGTGAATGACCGTTCGGCCCCCGCACTCTGATACATATATATACACATATATATATATATATATGTATAGATATGTGTGTGTGGGTTGCCGCCGATAGGTTTAATCCCGCTTAGTCCGGCTAGAAGTCCCGCTTAGTCCAGTTCAGTCCCGCTTGATCCGCGGCCTGATCGGGCGAGGCGCCCCCCCCAACGGAGGCTAAACCCTTTTCAGATTTCCCAGTAGCTGCCCCCTCAGAAAGAGACCGGGGGAGGGAAGGGCCGAGGTTGCTCGGGAGCGGTGCGGGCGATGGCGGCGCTGGCGGCGGCAGCGGCCGGGCCTGTCCGGCCTTCGGCGGCCCGCGAGGTCCAGCTGACTCTGCTAAGGCGCGGCAAGGAGCACACCGTGAAGGCTGGGAGACGGCGCCAACGACGGCGGCGAGGCGGATGACGAGGATGGAGGAGGTCAGAGGACCATCGTTTTCGCCTTTCTGGGCCTCGTGGGAGGCCCTCGTCGCCGGGTCTGGATTCGCCTCGAAATTCTGGTCACAACGCACCCCGGGACAGGTCTGGGGAGTAGCGGTATCGGTACCTCCTGGTTTCCCGAGGAGGAAGAGGAGGAGGATGAAGAGGAGGAGGAAAAGGAGGAGGAGGAGGAGGAGGAGGAGCCGGAGGAGGAGGTGCTGCTCCATACAAGAGGGCCGTGTCGGCTATTCCGTATTGGAGACGCCAACGGCGAATCACCGCCGCCCCCTGCCTTCTAGAGTCGCCCATGTGGCCGAGCGTTGTGGCAAGAGTTCTGCCAACCTATCGGGCCATGTGTGTCCCCAAACCGTTGTGGAAACCCTTCGAAGAACACTTGGGGGAGGATGGCGGGGAAGATCAGGAGGGGGCGGAGGAGGAGGAGGTGGAGGAGGGAGGAGTTGGAGGAGGAGGAGGAGGAGGAGGAGGAGGAGGAGGGAACATCTTGGGAGCCTCTGGGGATACTCTTGGGGCCTTGTGGGAGCTTCCTTGGAACGTCTTGGAGGCATCTAAAGGGCCTCCTTGGGCCTCTTGAGGGCCTTTGTGGGCTTCTCGGGGGCTTCTTCGGCCGTCTTGGTGGGCTCCTGGCCCGTCTGACGCCGTCGGAAACCGTCTTGGGGGCCTCTCTTGGCCGACTTGGGGCCTTCTTGGGGTGCTCCAGGGCCGCCTTGAAGGCTTCCTTGGGCGTCTCAGAAGCCTTTTGGGCAGTCTTTGGGCCCTCTTGGGGCCGTTTTGGGGGGCTCTTGGGCCGTTCTGGTGCCATTCTGGAGGCCTCTTGGGCGCTCTGGGGGCGATCTTTGGGGCCTCTTGGGCCGCCGGAAGGCCGAAAAGAAGCAAATACGACAATCCTTCAGTAACCTAAGGCAACTCAATGACTTTGGCCTCTTCGGGCCTTCCTGGGGGCCCTCTTGGAGGTCGGTTGGGCCGTCTTGGGCCATCTTGGAGCCGTCTTGGTGGGCTCCTGGCCCGTCTGACGCCGTCGGAAGCCGTCTTGGGGGCCTCTCTGGGCCGACTTGGGCCCTCTTGGGGCTGTCTTGGGAGCCTCTTGGGCCGTTCTTGGGCCATCTTGAAGGCCTCTTGGGCGCTCTGTGGGCGATCTTGGGGGTCTCTTGGGTCGTCTTGGGCCGTCGGAAGGCCGAAAAGGAGAAAATACGACAATCCTCCAACAACAAGAGAAACTATGATGTTGGCCTCTTCGGGCACTCCTGGAGAACCTCTTGGCAGCCTCTTGGTCCGTCTTGGAGGTATCCCCGTCTTGGAGGCATCTTGGGCGAACTTGGAGGCCATCTTGGCCATTTTGGAAGCCATCTGGGAGATATCTGGAGCAGGAACACCTTTTGGAATCACCTCCGGAAGAAGAGCCTTTCGGGTGGCCAGCGGGCTGGGGCGGAGCCCCAGGTTCTTTTGGACAAAACCAAAACCAAAACCGAAAGGATCCAGCATGCCAGGCACCCCTGTGGCAAGACCACAAGGGGGCGGCGGATCGAAGACGCCTACGGCGAATCACCGCCGCCCCCTGCGCTTGTGGAAACGCCTATGTGGCTGACAGCTGGGCTAGAGCCTGGCCAAACTATCGGGCCAGTTGTTCCCCGTGTCGGTTTGGAGAGCCTTCGGGGAACGCGTGGGGGAGCAAGAGGTTTGAAAGCGCTCATGTGTCCGAGCGTTGTGGCAAGAGCTCTGCCAAGCTGTCGGACCATGTGTTCTCCCAGCCGTTGTGGAAACCCTTCGGGGAACACTTCTGGGAAGATGGCGGGGAAGATCAGGAGGAGGAGGAGGAGGAGGAGAAGGAAGAAGGAGGAGGAGAAGGAGGAGGAACATGAGGAGGAGGAGATGATGAGGAGGAGTCTTGGGGCGTTATGGAGGCCTCTTGGGCCGTCTTGGGCCTCTTGGGCGATCTTTGGGGGCACTTGGGCCGTCTCGGGCCGTCGGAAGGCAGAAAAACAGCAAATGCCACAATCCTTCCAAAAACTCATGGGAAATCAGTGATTCTGGCCTTTTCGGGCCTTTCTGGAGACCCTCTTGGAGGTCTTTTGGGCCGTCTTGGGCCATCTTAAGGCCATCTTCGGCCGTCTTGGTGGGCTCCTGGCCCGTCTGACGCCGTCGGAAGCCGTTTGGGTGCTGGGCTTGGGGCCCTCTTGGAATGCTCCAGGGCGGCCATCTTCTGCGTCTCAAGACCTCCTGGGCCGTCTTGTGGGCCTCTTAGGCCGTTCTGGGGCCATCTTGAAGGCCTCTTGGGCGATCTTTGGGGGCTGTTGGGCCGTCTCGGGCCGTTGGAAGGCCGAAAAGAAGCTCAAAATCCTTCAAACACCGCAGGGAAATGTGTGTTGTTGGGCTTTTCGGGCCCTCCTGGAGGCCCTCTTGGAGGCCTCTTGGGCCGTCTTGGGCCAGCTTCGAGCCAACTTCGTCCAGCTTGGTGGGCTCCTGGCCCGTCTGACGCCGTCGGAAGCCGTTTGGGGCCTCTCTGGGCCGACTTGGAGCCCTCTTGGCATGCTCCAGGGCCGTCTTGGAGGTCATCTTGGGCGTCTTAAAAGCCTCCTGGGGGGTCTTTGTGCCCTCTTGGGGCCGTCTTGAGGGCCTCTTGGGCCTTTCTGGGTCCAACTTGGAGGCCTCTTGGCCGCTCTGGGGGCGATCTTGGGGGCCTCTTGGGCCGTCTTGGGTCGTCGGAGAGCCGAAAAGAAGCAGATAATTACGCAAAACCTTTACAAACCTAGAAAATCAATGTTTTTAGCCTCTTAGGGCCCTCCTGGAGGAGCTCTCCGAGGCCTCTTGGGCCGTCTTGGAGGCCTCTTGGGCACCTCTTGGGTCGTCTTGGGCCGTCTTGGACGTTTCTTGGCGGACTTGGAGGCATCTCCTCCTCTCTTGGGCGGACTTGGAGGCCACCTTAGACCATGTTGGAGGCCATCTTGGGCCAACGTGGCCATCTTGGAGGCCATCTTGAGCCATCTTGGAAGATTTTTTTCCGGATTGAGCCGTCCCGGGACCCCAGCGGAACGCGCCGGAGGCCCAGGGGGAGTTCTTTTGGAAAAGAACCAAAACCAAAACCGAGAGGATCCAGCACGCCAGGCACCCCTGTGATGAATCAACTGGGGGCGGCGGATCGAAGACGCCTACGGCGAATCACCGCCGCCCCCTGCCCCTTTGGAAGCGCCTGTGTGGCAGACAGCTGGGCCAGAGCTTGGCCAAGCTATCGGGCCAGTTGTTCCCCGAGTCGGTTTGGAAAGACGTCCGAGAACGCATGGGGGAGCAAGAAGAGGAGGATGAGGAGGAGGAGGAGGAGGAGGAGGCCTCTTGGGCACCTCTTTGGGCACTCTTGGGGCCTCCTGGGAGCTTCCTGGGGGCCTCTTGGAGGGTTTTGGAGGGCCTTTGGGGGCCTCTTGGGGGCCTCTTTGGCCGTCTTAGGGCGTTCCTGGCTTGCCTGACGCCGTCGGAAGCCGTCTTGGGGGCCTGTCTGGGTCGTCTTGGGGCCCTCTTGGGGCACATCAAGGGTTCTTAGAGGCCATCTTGGGCGTCTTGGAGGCCTCTTGGACCGTTTTGGGGCCGTCTTGGGTGCCTCTTTGGCCGTCATGGGGCCATCTTTGAGGCCTCGTGGGCGATTTTGGGGGCCTCTTGGGCCGCCTTGAGCCCTCGGAATGTTGAAAATAAGCAAATGCCAAGATCCTTCAAACACCTAAGGAGAATCAATGATTTTGGCCACTTCGGGCCCTCCTGGAGGACCTCTTTGAGGCCTCTTGGGCCGTCTTGGAGACCTCTTGGGGGCCTCTTGGGCCGTCTCAGGCCATCTGACGGCCATCTCAGGCTGTCTTGGGTGCATCTTGGGCCGTTTGGGAGGCCGTCTTGGAGGCCAGCTTGGGCGTCTTGGAGGCCTCTTGGGCCGTCTTGGGGCCCTCTTGGGGCCGTCTTGGAGGCCTCGTGGGCCGTTATTGGGGCCCTCTTGGAAGCGTCTTGGGCGATCTTGGGGGCCTCTTGTGCCGTATTGAGCCGTCGGACTGCCGAGAAGAAGCAAATGCCAAGATCCTTCAACAACGTAAAGAAAATCAATGATTTTGGCCTCTTCGGACCCTTCTGGAGGGCCTCTTGGAGGCTTCTTGGGTCGTGTTGGGCCGTCTTGGAGGCTTCTCGGGCGACCTTGGAGGTATCTTGGACGCTCTTGGGCCGTCTTGGAGGCCGTCTAGGACCATCTTGGGCGGAATTGGAGGCAATCTTGGAGGCCATCTTGGGCCAACGTGGCCATCTTGGAGGCCATTTTGGACCATCTTGGAAGATTTTTTTCCGGATTGAGGTCCCTGGTAATCTTTCCGGGTGGCCGGCGGGACGCGCCGGAGGCCCAGGGGGAGTTCCTTTGGAAAAGAACCAAAACCAAAAACCAAAACCGAGAGGATCTAGCAATCCAGGCACCCGTGCGATGAATCGACAGGGGGCGGCGGATCGAAGACGCCTACGGCGAGTCACCGCCGCCCCCTTGTGGAAGCGCCTATGTGGCTGACAGCTGGGCTAGAGCCTGGCCAAGCTAGCGGGCCAGTTGTTCCCCGAGTCGGTTTGGAGAGCCTTCGGGGGACGCGTGGGGGAGCAAGAGGTTTGAAAGCGCTCATGTGTCCGAGCGTCGTGGCAAGAGCTCTGCCAAGCTGTCGGACCATGTGTTCCCCCAATCGTTGTGGAAACCTTTCGGGGAACACTTCTGGGAAGATGGCGGGAAGATCAGGAGGAGGAGGAGGAGAAGAAGGACGGAGAAAGATGAGAAGGAGGAGGAGATGATGAGGAGGAGTCTTGGGGCGTTATGGAGTGGGTTGTCTTGGAGGCCTCTTGGGCCGTCTTGGGCCTCTTGGGCGATCTTTGGGGGCACTTGGGCCGTCTCGGGCCGTCGGAATGCAGAACAAAAAGCAAATGCCACAA